CACAATCCATTCACTAGGTCTATTACTACTAAAATTACTCCATTATTTCGTTTTAGATCTACTCAAGCGAAAACATACTCGAACAGTATATCCTCAAATTTCATACAAACCATTAACTGTCTTTTCTTTGATCCATAGTGATGTGTGGGTCCCTCTAGGATAAACAATATTTCTGATACTCGATGATTTGTAACATTTGTTGTTGATCATACAAGGATAACTCAAATTTTTCTTATGAAAGAAAAGTCTGAGGTTGGGCAAATTTTTCAAATCTTCAATTTTATTGTTCAAAATCAATTTAACTCTAGAATTTAGTACTCAAGTTAGACAATGCTATGTAATACTTCAATAGTAGTCTTAATAGCTACCTTCATAAGCATGAGATTATCTACATAAGTTCTTGCCTTGACGCCCCTCAACAAAATAGGGAGGTTAAACGCAAGAATAAACATCTCTTTAATCAATTGTATGCCATCCAGAGTCCTTAATTTTTAATTTTCTCGTCAGCTTCTTCTATTAAATTTTCTTCACACTCGTGCAGCTTCATCTGATTTACGTCTTAAGATATTTGGTTGCACGACGTTTGCTCATGTGTAACATCAACACCGTAGCAAATTTGATCCTAGAGCCAATAAGTGTATTTTTCTAAGGTACTCTGTAACTCAAAAATGGTACAGATGTTATACTCTAACCAAAAAAAGATTTTACACCATCATGGATATCTCTTTCTTTGAACATATGTCATTCTATCCCAAATCTCATGTTTAGGGGGAGAGCATGTCTTAAAATCAAGTTTGTGAGTTCTTTTTTGAGTTCGTGCCTTTACCCACTCAAAGTCACCAAGTTCTTCTCAACCTGAGCTTGTGCCCAAAGACCATACAGAAGACTTGTCCACACCCGAGCCTATTCAATCATCAGTATTGTCTACAAATATTTCTTCTCCCGTGCTTGCTCAGTCTATGGATCCACAACTTGCTAATGAGAATTTTCACGTCTACATCAAGAGGAAAAGACATGAGTTAAAGCACGGATCACAGCCAACATGTGGCCAAGATATTAACCCAATTTCAAGTCCACATGAAGAAAACATAGGTATGGAAAAGGTTGGAGATGTGCCAATTCCCAAAATTGATGACTCCACCATGCCAATTGTATTGAGGAAGGGTGTTAGGAGATGTACATGTTATCCAATTGGAAATTATGTTACTTATAGAGGACTATCACCATCTTACAAAGCATTTGCTACTTCTCTTGATGATATTCATGTTCCTAGCACAACAAAAGAAGCATTACAAAATTCAAAGTGGAAGAAGTCAGTACAAGATGAGATTGATGCACTTGAAAATAATGGAACATGGACTATTTCTGATTTGCCAGCTGGGAAAATGCCCGTTGGATGTAAGTAGATTTTCACTATAAAGTAAGAGCAGATGAATCACTTGAGAGATTCAAGACTCGGTTGGTAACTAGAGGATTTACACAATCCTATGGGATACAACTATCAAGAAACTTTTGCTATTATCAAAAATCTTAACGCTATTAGAATTCTTCTCCTATTGGTTGTCAGCTAACATTGGTAATTGCAACAACTGGACATAAAAAATGTCTTTCTAAATAGTGACCTTGAAGAAGAAGTCTGCATGGAAATTCCACCTGGTTTTGAAAAAAGTATGGCAAAGAATTAGGTTTGCAAACTCAAGAAGTCCTTATACGGCCTTAAACAACCTCCTCGAGCATGATCTAACAAATTCACAAAGGTTGTTTTGAAGGTAGGATATATAAATCTCATGCTAGTAAAATTGCTATATTGATAGTCTATGTCAATGATATTATTTTATCTGGGAAAGATGTGGAGGAATTACAAAATTTGAATAAGTATTTGTCAGAAGAGTTTGAAGTTAAAGATCTTGAAAATCTTAAATATTTCCTTGCAATAGAAGTGGCTAGATCAAGAAAGAACATTGTTGTTTCTCAAAGAAAAAATATTCTAGATCTTCTTAAGGAGACTGATATGCTTCGATGCAAACCTGTTGATACTCCTACGAACAACCAAAAGAAATTTGGCACCGAAAAAGAAAGTATATCTGTAGGCAGCGGTAGGTATAAGGATGTGTGATCTATCTTTCAAAGACTTAGCCAAATACTAGTTTTGCAGTGAGTGTTGTAAATCAATTCATGCACAATTCTACAAAAAAAACACATTGAAGCAATCTACATGATTATTAGATACTTGAAGATGACACCAGGAAAAAGCCTATTCTTCAAAAAGACATAGAATTGTAACACTGAAGTGTATTCAGAGGAAGATTGGGCAGGAAATATCATTGATAGACCGTCAACTTCTGGGTACTTTTCTTTTGTCTGGGGCAATCTTGTTACCTAGAGGAGTATAGAGCACTTACACAAAGAATTTGTGAAGGGATTTGGATAAAAGGTGGAGCGTTACTTTGAAGAAAGAAGGGAGGAACGTCATCGTCGAGGTG